AGACAGACAGACAGACAGACAGACAGACAGACAGACAGACAGATAGATAGATAGATAGATAGATAGATAGATAGATAGATAGATAGATAGATAGATAGTCACAGGTCTTCTCTATGGTCAGGGGATAAGATACAGTAGCACAGCTCATATATAGTACGTCTGTCAAAAACATTTTTTCTTACTGCTGCCGCCACATCTAAGGACTGGGAAGCTGCGATAGAACAGCGTTCTTGTTTTGTTCTGATGAAAGCTTTTCTCTTTCACCAAGCAGTTTTGAAAAGTGCATGTGCTGATTGAGAATGGCACCACTATCATTTCCTACAAAACTCAATTCCTGGCTGTAATTCACGAGAGATCGAGTCATTATTTTTGTGGTCCTCGGATGATGAAATCTTCCTCACACCCGCACACTTTACTGCCGATAGGCCTGAATGTGACACACAGATAAGAGAAGATTAAAAGCAAACCATAGAAATATCTCGGCAGCCACAAAGCCAGGAAGCACTTCCAAAGAAAAATATTATGGTTTGGCCGGCGACACACACGCGATCAGACGTCCCTCAAAAACCAAGACATGACCAGATCAACAACAGTTTAAGTACACGCTGCTCTCAGTCCAGCAACAAAAATAAATAGTGAGCTCAGCCTCCAGCAGAGAACACGCAGGAAAGAAAACCTTTCTGGAATCTTACATAGAAACGTAGAAGAGTTACAGCAGAAAGAGGCCAAGTGGCCCATACAGTCTTTTTGTTTGTTTTTTTATCTTTTACTTTTTTAGAGTACAGATCTACATTTACCCCAAGCTTGTTTAGTTTCACATACTGTTGACTGATTCACGTCCTCTGCTGGAAGTCTGTTGCAAGCTGCAGCTACTCTTTTAGAAAAATAATACTCTTTAAGGTTAGTTCTCAACCTTAAATGGTTTAAAAGTCCTCATGTTCTCGATCTTAGCTTCATATTAAAAACACTTCCCTCCTGAACCTTATACTTACCCTTCCTGTATTTCATTGTTAGTCATTTGAACCCTTTCCCCCTTTTTTCTCTCAACTCTACACGTTAATTTCTGTCGTGGTGACAACTGTAAAATGTTGGCTGATCTTATCAGGGCTTTAAAAAAGAAATCCAAGAATTTTAAAAAACTGTCCCTTGAAGATAAACTGTAAGGAAGGTCCATTATATACCAGAAGTGTTCAGAATGTAATACAAACCTCAAGATACATACACCTGTTAAAGTGAAGAAACACTTCACCTGCGTCCACACAGAAACAATACCAACCAGCCAACATGCTGAAAATCCTCACGTTCCAAATTGAATTTGAAAGGGCATGTTTGTAAAGCAGCGTGTTCCTTCTTGTAGCAGTGAGCTGGTCTGTTACATGCTGAAAATCCCAAAAATCTCACACAGTTCTCTATAAGTAAATAAGATTATCCTTTCAATTTAAAACTCACAAACAGGAATTCTTTGGTTATGCCAATGGGTGACTCATGGATACTTGTAGATATGCTTGTATTGTGAAGGACAGCGTCTGTATTGACCTCAAGAGTGGGAAGATCAGAGTACACGGACTGCATATTTGACTTGCAGAGGAGGGACAAACATCTATTTCCTAATAGGTGCAGAACTGTCTGGCTTAGTCAGTTATACAGAGGGTGCTCCCAAGCATGCTGGTAGTTTGTCATTAGAAAGCCCAGCATTGGTAATTAGGGATGTCCCTCATGTTCTTGCCGATACCAATTACCAATACTTTTTCTTAAAGGGACATGTGACATTTTTTTCTAAAGCAACACAGACTGATGTGATGATTTTAGGGCAGTTTCTCACCAGGGCTAAATAGGGATGTCCCCAAAGCTGAACACATGTCCCCACAGCAGAACACATCTCTCCAAATGCGAACACATGTGCCCACAGCAGAACACATGTCCCTAAGGCAGAATAGTATTCTACTTTTGGAACGTGTGTTCTGCGAATACATGTCTTCAAAGCAGAATTCCTCTCTCCAGGCTGCGTGTCGATCTCACCGGGGCGACGTGGACATCTGCAGTGGCTCTGCGGGCACTCCACCTCACCGGCGATGGCGGGACCCGACCTGGGCTCTGCTTTCGTCCATCTCCCCATCCGTGTGCGGCAGAAACCTCAGCTTCTAGCCCCGGGGCGGTAGTTCTGCCCCCGGGGCTGTACATGGCAGTGCCTGTGGTGGGAAGGAGGAGGAGGAGATAAAGAACCGGACAGGCACTGCCATGGACAGCTATCTGCAGATCCCCAGCAGGCTGCCGAGGTCCCCACTAGCATGGGAACTCGGACGGCCGCTGCTATTTGAAAATTGAAAGGGTTGGTATCTGCCTTAAGAATCGGGCCATTTTCATGAGTACAAGTACTCGTGAAAATGCCTGGTATCGGCCCTGATACCGATACTAGCATCGTTATCGGGACATCTCTATTAGTAATATAAAGCATGATTAATCCACCTTGTCTTTAAAAAAAATTAACATGCATATAGGAGAAAAATGCAGAGTTGATGCCTTACAATGTGCAACTTTTTTCTTCAATGAGCAGGCTGGGGGCAGGAAGGTGAGACCACTCTTTTTTTCACCCTCTTTACTGGGCTGCATGGAAAAAGCTGTATGAATCAGAAAAATAGCTGAACAGTATTAAAAACCAATGGCAGGTCACAAAAACAAGACAGTCCACTGAAGTTTAGTCCAGCTGTGTGTTTAGGCGTTTTCAGCTTTAAAGTAAGTACGGGTTCATAGATAGTTTAAAATAGCTTCAAACACTTCGTCTGGGCCATTAACCAGTTCTAAGTTGATGACGATTATATGTCACATTATCTTCTGTGCCCTCTGGGTACTAACAATAGGAAATGGATGCAATGAACTACACTTCCTATTATTCAAGTAGATATTTTTAGACGTTCTGTGCAGACATTTAGGATTCATGTCCCCCTTTGTTGTAAACCGCCATTATCTCTTGAATTAGGTTCTGGCATGACAAAGTAGAGACAAATAGAAAACAGAAAAATTGTATTACAACTGATAAGAAAATTCTCATATAATTATAGAATATAATATAATTATATTGCAAAGCACCACTTACAGAAGACGTATGTTAGCGGAGGTTTCAAATGTGTTGTTATTATGTATAGGGTGTGTGACAGGGTACACGACTCTGTGTATGTCAGTGAGAGGTTGAAAAGGGCAGTTTTCCCTGGCTAGGAAAGGGTTAAGCCTGGCCCAACAGGTAAACCTCCTCTCTTTCTCTCTCTCTATTAATTAGCCTGCACCTGATAGTGAGGGAGAGGGAGTGAGAGCTCAGAGTGAGATCCAGGCTGCACTGGATGGACACAGACTGGAGAGTGTCTGCATATCTGGGGAATAAGGTCTGTCAGAACAATTGTTTGTATTGGACTGTGGTTTTTGTCCATTTATACTGGAAGCTGGAATAGCCGCTCCAGTAGGACGTAGTGAGGGACACTACTGTTTAGTTAGCCTCCTAAGGTGGAGTAGGCCTTTTTATTTGTGTTACTTTTTCGTTGGATGCAATAAAGCTGCATTTATTGCCATTACTTTTTAAAGACCAGTGACTTTCCTACAGGTGTGACATTTGGGGAATTGAGCACATATGGTGAGCACTTAAGGACCAGTCTTGAAGCCGACTTGAACATAAACAGAACAGTCTTTATTTCTCTTCAACATAAATGAAACAGAACAGTTCATGCACTTCTTCGATTAATCCACTTTTCCTCAGCGTATACAGTCCTCAGCACACCTTTGTGTGATCTCACACTAGTCATGTGCACTGCCAAAAAATACGTTTAGTTTCGTTTCGTTTTAAATTCGGATGTGTGTTATTTCGTTTTTCGGGATTCGGGTGTGAAAGTCAATTCGGATTCGGAATTCAGATTCGACCGAAATTCGGTAGCGTTAGGTCGAACGTTCGTTTCGTTTTCTGTTCTTATTCGTTTCTTATTCGTTTCGTTCGTTCGTGACATTCGAGGGGGAAAAAATATTTTTCTCCTTCTCTAATGTCACTTTGCTCCAACGAACGAAACGAATAAGAAACAAATAAGAAACGAATAAGAACAGAATACGAAACGAACGTTCGAACTACCGCTACTGAATTTCGGAAATGGAAATTCGGATTCGTTTGCATTTGTTATGTCTGTAATTCGGAATTCGGATACATCCGAATGTCCGAATTTCCGAAAATCCGTCCGAATTTTAATTCGGAACGAAACGAATTGCACATGTCTAACTCACACTATTCACCCCTTGTGAGCACTCAACTGCTCTCTCAGAACAGTGTCCACCAGGTCCCTTGGGTCACCGACCTCTCCCAGCCTCCCCTGGTTGTTCCACGTGCGTCCAGCACGCACCAGAGTCTGCTTGTGTCCATGTGCCACCTGCACACCCCCACACAACTCTCCCTGAGCTCTGGGCTGGCTTCTTAATGAGGCTGCTCTCCTGATCAGCCCAGGCTGGTCATTGGCAATATCTGGCCCCAGGACTGGAGATTTCATCCCACCCAGAGCTCTAAGGAATCTCCAGAGCGCCAGATCCCAGTTACAATCAGGAAACTCTGGAAGAATCTGAAAGGCCAGGATCTTCCTTATAAAATGGTTAGGGCTAAAGATTTAAGGCAGTGTGTGTAAAGATGGAATAGATTTGGATGCAAAGCAAAAGGATATAAATGTATTAAATTAGGCACATATGTAAAAAAAAAACCAACAACTTATATACAATGGAAACACTAATTTTAAAAGGTTAGTTCACCTTTCCCCCAAAAAAATTAAAAGGTGAACTGATTCACAATACCCTCCTCAGGCACCAGTTTCCCCCCAGCCCCCTTCACAGCAAGGATGACCATCACCTGCTGCCACTCCAGTCATTATAACAGTCCTGGCACTTGAAAACCTCACTACACAGACTATAAAGTACATTAGGGGCAATGTCCATATCATCTTGAGCCCTTTTCTAGGATTTACTAAAGGTTTTGGTACATATCTGAATATCATCAATGATGGGCTTGGCATCAAAAAGGCTAGTTCACCTTTTCTTAATACAGGACCCCTCCCTCCTTGGTCTGCACTTGATGACCAAGTCCACTGCCCAATGCCAACCAGTATAACAGTGCCGACACTTGAAAAGGTCAACTTACAATTATGAGCGGTCATTGGTCAGCATGGTCACCTGATTGTGTGGACCAGTGAGAGTCTCTTCTTTCTTATGAGCCTTCTTTCTTTTGGAATGGGGTGGTCATGTGACCACTGTGACCAATGACCAGTCACTCACCATTGCAAGCTTTATGCTGCTACACAGCCCCCCGCGGTGCTTTTTTCAAGTGTTGGAACTTTTATTTTGGCTGGTGTGGACAACAGGCGATGGTCATACTTGCAGCTAGGTGAAGCAGGGTTCAGGGGTGGGGTGATG